TGTGTGTGCGTAGTCTGGTATGAAGCTGAGGGATGCTGCTGGCCCACCGCTGATGTTTCCTCTCCCCTCTCTTCCCAGTGGGCAAGTCTTGGGCCGCCGATGTTTCGAAGCCCGCATTTGTGCTTGCCCAGGCAGAGACCGCAAAGCAGACGAGGACAGCATCCGCAAGCAGCAAGTCTCCGACAGCACAAAGAATGGTGATGGTACGAAGCGCCGTAAGTAGCTGGCCGAGCTGGGCAGATCGCAAACCGGGCTGTCACCGGGTGCAGGTGTGACCCCAGCTCTTCTGCTGTGGGGACGGAGCGGTGCTGTGCATGGGCTTGGAGGCAGGAGGGTATTAGATGTCTGTTTTCCCAGGGTCAAACAGGCTGAAAAACGTGCTGGTGTTCACAAAACAGCGTTTGGCAGTCTGGGTTTGTGGGCTCCCTTGCGGTGCTGCCAGGCTTAGATGAGCCCTGCCAGCAGGGGCTGGGGCAGGGGGGGAGGGTTTATTTGCCATCCTTAAGGTACTTGGCTGGGACTCTGTAACCACTTTTTGAACCCTTACTGCTTGTTTGGGACTGTACTGTCACTCCCTGCTCCTTCTAGCCAGCGTCTCGTGCTGTGGCATGTGTCTTCCAGCCACAGGGATCTAGGTTAAGACGGCGCGTAAACCCCGCTGTGCGTCAGAGCTGCTCTGGCTCGTGGCCTCTCTGTGCTCTGAGGACTGCCATGTACTCAGCAGACATGCGAGATGTGGAAACCCAGCTTTTATTTCTGGCACACTGAACAGCAAGGTTTTAACAGGAGGACGGTGAATTCTGCGTGCTCCCTGCCTGTTCTCACCTTCATGGGTCACTGATCACCAGCAGCTTCATCAGCACTGTAGCCCCAAAGCTTGCGGTCTCTCCTGCAAAGAGCCAGTGCTTGTTCTAGGCACAGCTTGCTGGGCTTGTGCCATCCATCCGGTGCTCCTTGGCTGATGTGTTTCCCCAAGCGGTGTGGCCACCCAACACCTCCAAAGTCCCGTCTGCCTTGTGGAGCCAGAACCTGGAAGCGCAGTTCTGGGGTGGCTCAGGCAGAGACCGTGTCACAGCACTGCACATTTGAGGCGGCCATGCAATTTGTCTCTTTTGTATCTCCTTTTTTTTTCTTTCTCTTTTTCCTTTTTTTTTCTTTTTTTTTTTTTTTTTTTTAATGGGATGCTTTTGGGGTTTCTCTTCCAGCTTTTCGGCAAGGAACTCATGGCATACAGATGACATCTATCAAAAAAAGACGTTCCCCAGATGATGAGCTCTTATACTTGCCAGTGAGTTCTCTCTCTCTTTGCCTGTGCCCTGTGTTTAGTATCTTCCTTGGTGACTTGAGGCAGGTCAGCTGCTCACCTAGACCTCAGAGAGAACTGAGGATGGGATGTGGATTTTTTTTTTTTTAATCTCTATAGCTACATCTTCTAAATACATATTCCAAACAAAAATTATGAAAAATCCCATCAGCTGCTGACTGAGAGTGGCTTGTGCAAGGCATATGAGAATATCCCAAGGATCTCTCTGTCCTGGTGGAAGCATTGGCTTGGAGACCTAACTGGGTTTGATTCTCTGGCATTTTTGGGTCTGTGACACTTAAGCTTTCTCTAGAGATAATGAGTGTTGTCTTACTGACAAAGGTGGATGTTCCTGTGGCTTTTATGTGTATTACCATCGTTATGGAGTGATAGAAGTGAAATACACTGTGTTAAGTGTAGGATCAGAAAGGTAAAGAATCTGTAATTAGCCATTTAGCTGCTTCCCTGAGCCACGTTTAGTTGGATAAATCACAAACCACCGTGTCCTCAGAGGAGAAGGGAGATCCAAACCCAACAGCCAAATTCAAGTACTCTTTCCTCAAGGCATGTAAGATGAAGCATTAGATCTGCTTCCCTCTGAGGTAGGTAAAGACATTTTCTGCCTAACAGATTGGATCAGAACATTGCTTTGGGTTGGCATAGATTTACATCGAGCCAGATGACAACCCCGAGCTGTTCATTAGCCTGCAGTGTCAGGTTATCACTCTTCAACATTATCTGCTGTTCCTCCAGCACGAGGCTTAGCGGTTTTATTGTGTATGCATAGAGCATAAACAGAGTATTTGCATCCTGCTCTGGTTGTTTGCATGACTTGATGTAGAACTCACGAAGGTGGCTGTCACTATAGATGCAGTCCTCTAAGGCTTTTCTTTTCCCTTTTTTCTCTTTCCCATCATCCAGGTGAGAGGACGGGAGACGTATGAAATGCTACTAAAGATCAAAGAGTCCCTGGAACTGATGCAGTACCTTCCCCAGCACACGATTGAGACCTACCGGCAGCAGCAGCAGCAGCAGCACCAGCACTTGCTCCAGAAGCAGTGAGTAGGGGTGTGCTTGCGGTGAGCTGTGCAGGGAGGACGGGGGGGAAGGGGGAGAGAGGAGAGAGACACAGAAGGTTTCTGCACAGTTGGTTGTAGGGACTTGGTGCTCAACCGAGGGCCAAGCACTGACAGCGCTGCGTTGGCAAAATCCTTCCCGACAGCATAGCTGCTTGTTAACCTCCTGGTCAGAGCAGGTAGAAATCGATGCCAGGAGTTTGGCCAAAGCCAAGCTTCTGTACAGAGCTTGAGAGACTCAGAGATGCAGATATCACAGCCTGTGCAATGGGACAAAGCAGCCCTCCTTCCCCAGGGGCAAGTCCTGACTGCTGGCAAGGTCCCTCTCTAGTCTCATCCCAGACAATTCACCTTTTGGCTCAGAGGGTGAAGGAGGACAGGCTCCGTGCCTCAGTTCTGCCTTCCAGCTGGAGCCCACGGCACAGCGAGACCGCGGACAGAAGCACGCTGCGTGTGCGTGCCCGAGCTGGGGAGCGCAGGGTGGGTGTGCTTGTCTCTCGTCCGCTCCGTGGGAGCGGCAGTGAATGTGGAGCCATCTCTACGCCTTTCCCGGGGTGTCCATCTGAACATCTTGTCAAGAGCGTGCAAAGCTGGGACTGCGAGCACCAGCTCAGCGGAGCGCTTGGACCCCGCTGCTGAGCATCTCTGGGGCTGTTGGGGGGCTGGTGTCCCAGTGGGATGTAAATACTGTAGGCTCCTCTGCTATAAAAAGGGAGGGTGAAAATCAGGAGGAAGGATGAAATGTGTGAGAATTGCTTTGTGACCGGTAGGTGCTTCAAAGGAAGATTCTAAGTGGGCGCTTTTAAAGCATTTTTAAAAACTGTCCTTTGTCGCTGACAAGCATCTCCACGTTGCATACGAGAATATTTCTATCTGGGCAGGCACAGTCCCTGTCTGACCTCGGCTGGCAGGGCTGTGCCAGGATTGAGTGGTGGAAGTGGCAGGAGGATGGGGAGAAGAAGGGCCAAGGAAGTGTCTGGTTTCCATTTTCCCCTCTGTTCCCAAAGCTTTGCAATTACAGAGAAAGACTCCCCAGACAGACCGTAAGCGGTGTCATTGATGGGCACGGCTTCACCTGCTGTCTCGGGTGACAGAAAACAGCCACCCGGGCTGTAGGTAGCCGCCAGCGGTAGTGCTTGGGATCTCACGCGTTCCTGCTGGTAAACTGGCACGTCGGGAGGCTGCGGGTACAACTCATTCCTCCGCGGAGGTTAGCATGGGGCCAAGGCACCACATAAGTCCCACTTGAGCCTGTAGGGATTTATTTCGGTGCCTTGGCCTTGTCTCAGGACTTCTGCAATACCAGGGCTTTCTGCCAGATCATGCATGTGTTCAGCATTGCGACTTGTATGTTTTTAGTGTCAGCTGGAGTCTTGTGGAGGTGTGAAAAAAGCCTTGTGCCAGAACGGCTCGAGCATCCAGGGGCTCTGGACTCTTTTTTTGGGGCACTTAAAGTTCTCATAATTATTTATTTTTTATCAGTCACCTGCACTGTGTGTGTACTGTAGCCTGTACTTACTGGCTCCTAGGCATTGCAGCCTTCGTGTGCTCAGCTGCATCTTCAAAGCTCCACCTCAGCTCCAGCCGTTTCAGCTGAGAGATGGTTTTGTAAGCAGAAATGGACAGCAGCAGATGACAGCTTTCACTTGGTGTGCTGGCAGTTGCTTTGCCATAATTACTGTTTTCATTCTTCCTGTATCAATAGGATGGGTTCCTGGCAACTGAGGTTGGTATTTGTGGTACCTTGAAGACTAGCGTGTATTAGTCCAGCCATTTAATTTAATGAAACTTCTTTTGGCATGTCTTCTGGCACTTGTCCAGTTAGATACTCATTTTTCTCAGCTGCTGAGTGTGCTCAGATACTGTGGAGAAAGATTAAGAGCTTCTAAGGATGCCAGGAATGGGGAGAAAAATAACTTCCAGTGTTTGTCCGGAGCTGCTGCAGTAGTCTCTGCTGACAGCCTGCCATCAAGGGGTCCTCTGGGCTGAAATGCATGTTGGAGCAATAGCTTCTTGGGTGCAGTTGGGTTTTGGTGCTTTCCCCTCGATAGTCCAGAGTGTGATTTAATTTCTGAAGGAATGTGTTCAGGGCAAAGGGGCATTTAGGCTGAAAAGACTCCTAGATGCAATTGCACCCCAAAAAAGAATTGTAATGGAGCTCCAGGTGTCAATGTGAGGATGGGGAGAGAAGACACTTTGTAGGAACTGGTTTGGGTAAGAGCAGCCTTGCACGCGAGCAGGTTTCTGGGAGATGTCCTGCTGCAGGCTGGCCAGACTCAGCAGCACGCTGACTCCCCTGTGAGTCTGTTCTGGCTTTAAAAGAAAATGCCAATGCCTTTCACTTTATAAGTAGGGACGTACTTTCAAAACGTGGTCTCAGCTTGCTTTCATTCAAAGTGTGTGTTGAAACCAGGAGCTTGGAAAGTGTGTATGCAGTGACCAAGTTTGTGTAGGAAGCTGTAGAGTTGTGAGTTGCCTGTGGCTCTTTATTCTCAAGATGGAGCTGCATCCCCATGTGCTCCACAGTCAAGCCTTGATGGAGGAATTGCTTGATTTTTCAGTTTATTTTTCTGAGCAATGGTTCACATAGAAAAGCTATCTAGGGGTGTGGGAAGAAGTTTCCCTTTCCTTCCTGCAACATGGAAAGCTTCATCTTTTTTGAAGAGTAGGAAAAGCAAGGATGAGATGATAGTAGTGAAAGGTAGTTCTTTTCCATAATAACAGATTTATATTTTTAAAACTATATAATTGCTCCTGTGCACATACAGACCAGGCAGGCCAGCAGATGCAACTGATGCAACTGTCCTACAGTTCTGGGATAAAAAGGACAAATCTGGTGACGGTCAAAGCTGTGTCCCCCAAGATGACCAAAATACTGCAATGCTCCACGTTGTGTCAGACCACAATCTTTCTCTGTCTCATCTCCTCTCTCTGTTTGCTCCTTGGTGCATGGTTTTCTCTTATTTACTGTTATGCCAAATACCTTCATGATCATAGGTGACAAGTTTGTTTTTTTTTTCTGCAGTTTCTATTCTTATTTTTCACTGCCAAATCTTGGGGCCCATATTTGAACAGCAGCACATACATTTATTTTAAAAAACTTCCTTTTTATGGTCTGCCACTGTTTGTTTAAAATATGGATTTGCCAGAAGATCCCTGCTGCCAGAGATACTGGAGGTGGCCCGTGCTTTGTTGGGGAGGGAAGGTTTCTTTGGTACTCTGCTGTGAAATACATATACCGTCAATATTCCCAGGCAGTACCTGCACAGTCTTTAAGGGTTTCGCTGGAAAAGACTTTTTCATATTCAGCAACATACGCTGCTCGCCCTGCTGAGCACTGTTTTCAGAACAGTCTTTATTTCCCTTGGCCATAGCATGGAATTGTAGAATATCTCAAGTTGCAAGGGACCCATAAGGATCATCAAGTCCAGCTCCAACGATTGAAGGGTTTTCATGAAGTCTTCCAGTGGCTACCAAGAAGAGGGCTCTTATGTCCGAGCGGGATCTTATATCCCAGTAAAGATTTCTGTCATATCAGCAGGGCTGCAGTTACCAGCCCACTGGCTGCCTTTCAGTCTAGTGAGCAGCACAGCTCGTTATGCAAATGAGAAGGAACTAACCTCCCAAGTAAGGGATGGCAGAGCTGAGCTATCCAGTGCCTGGAGTGCTCCAGCTGAGATGGGAGCTGCAAGGATCCCGGTGCTTGCTGTTGTGGGGAAGGGGCTGGTGGGGAAGGTATTCATAATTTTTGGTGTGGAAGCTAGTGGTGGATTTTTGCATGGTGTGGTTTGGGTTTGTAGTGCTGTGCTTGCATGCTTTGTGAACTCCAGGCACTCGGATAGTGTTCTCACTAGAGAATCCCCAAGATGAAATAAGGAAGAAGCAGCGTGGGATTAGATAGGTGAAGACGTGCTGCGTTTGCTTTGCTGGCTCCAAGGGTGCGGTACATTCTGCTGGCAGCCCCAGGGACCCCTCGGCTTTAGTGCAGAGGGTCCCCCAGCTTTGAAAAGGGGTGTAGTTGCCAAGTTACCAATGTGGCCCTTTCCCAGGAGGCACCATCCTCTTTCCTTAGCACAAGCTTCTGGTTTTTAAGTAACCGAAGTTTGCAGTGGGCTCAATGGAAGCTGCTTCTCCCCTTTTCCCCGTTGGCTGAGTGCTTTGTTCCTCTTGCATTTGTCACTGGGAGCAGGATCAGGGTACCATTTGCACCCGTGAGACTGGGACGCAGAAATGGGATTTTCTTGTCACCTGGCTGTTTCCTCTTCCTTGCCCAGCACTCCCTTGTGCCTGGGGTTTTCCAGCTTTCTACATCTCCCTGTTACATACCCTCACGGGAGGTGCTCAGGCATCTCCTTTTCCTCTCCTTCAAAGCCCATACTGTGATCATGAAGGTGGAAAGTGACTGTTTCTCTCTCGGTGGCTGGTGAAGGGTCCTGTACATTCATCTTTTTCTTTTCTCTGGTTCCTTCTCTACAGTCTCCTTTCGGCCTGCTTCAGGACTGAACTCACGGACTCAAGGAGAGACTCTCCCAAACAGACCGATGCCATCCTAAAACATTCCAGCCCCCCAAACCCATCAGTATATCCATAAACCGAGCTGGTGGGGTGGCTTTGCCCAGCTGGTGGGACTAGGACCAGTGGGGCAAATACACAGCCTGGTAGCAACAGAGTACATAGTGAGAGTAATCTCCTGAAGGGACTCAAACTTTGCAAAAACAACAGAGACTTCTACAGACCTCTTAGCTGTAGCCCGTAGCGTTGGGAGGTCAGGAACCACGATGTCGTCTGTCTTGGTGTAACATTTTCTTCCTGTTTTTGTAACCTGTTGATGCTCTTTCCCGTTACTTCTGTATTTGTGAAACTTGGTGGGGTTCCTCTCTGAGCAGGTCTCAATTTTAAAATGCCTCTTTGTCTTGTTTAAATTAAAAATGTGTTCATGGGCTGGGGGGGGATGGAAGAGGGTTGGGTGTGTTTGAACAGTC